TTTGGGTTTGTTGGTTTAGCTCTGTTAGTCTTGATTAAATCAGAAACTGGTGTGCATGACTAAGAAATTCCTGGGGTATGAGAGAGAGCATCTCTCTCCAGGAAGTTAAAATAATCTTGGAGGGTTTTTAGATGCTTATAAATTCTGGAGAGTGTTTAGGTACTCATTCTATCTCAACCTCCTCAATTTGGCAAGTTCATAGATTTCCATTCCATTCCATTCCATTCTTTCTGTATGTGTAGAAAATGTCCTGGGTGGTGGGGGGAAGGGGGCTGCAGAAACTCATCTGTAGACCAATCTAGAAGCTTCAGCCATCCTGGAAAGAGCATAGGACCCAATTTTGATGGTAACATATTGGACCTTGCGAAAGATGAATGAAACGAATTTCTGGGCTGGTGAGTAGTTTCTAGATAACTAGATTAAGACTCTGGAACAAGGGAAGGATAAACTCTGCCTCAAATCAAGAGAAAATTTTTTTCAGTAAGAAATGAATTTACCCCAATATAGAAGTAAATCAAGATGCTGAAACACTTCATACATATTGATTCACAATTGCCATTTTGACCTATCTCAAGACAAAAAATGGCCCAAGCTACTTGGGATTGAGAGTTATAAGTCTGCCTTTCATATGTAAAATACCGACATTAATATCAGAATAGATGAAATTTACTGAGAATGAGTACATGATGTTCTTTAATAAAATAATTCATAATTCTCTTTAAGACCCATGAAACAGGAATAACTATTATCCTTATTTTTAATGATAAAGAACCAGAGAATTTAAATAACTTCACTGAGTTAGTGAAGGGCAAAATCAACACTCAGATTTGATCTCTGAGAGTAAGGTTTGGCTGTAACTTTAAGCAGTCTTACGTAATTTTGACCCAAGTGAGAAGAGCACCTTCTCCAAATTCATTGCGCTAGAGGCAGAGTATTTCAAGCATTGCAGTCAAAACTGAAAAGATGCATGTAGAGTACTTGATACCATACCGACCATGGTATAAACAGTCAGAAAATACTATTTCTTATCATGTGGGGGAAACTAGAATGTGAGGCCTAAGAACATAAATGTTAGATTCCAAATTCTGTGTTTATATTGCAACTATGGATTGTATGACTTCCAGCAAGTTTCACTTTCCTTATCCATAAAATGGGCATAATCGTAACCCACTTCACAGGGTTTTTGTGGTAAACAGATCAGATGGTATTATATTTAATACCATGACACACAAAAAATCCTCAATAAATTGTAGCTACTGTACTTGAATCCATTATTATTGTTGTTGCTTTTAAGTCCACAAAGTCAGTCAGTGCTAGTGCTTTTAAAATCATGGATATTAGCAGATACAGAGTATGGTCTAAGTCAGACCAGGAAGCACAGGTGTGGTCCTCTTGAAGCCGTGGCGCGTCTGGCCACCTTGCAGTGGAGTTGAAAACAGCAAAAAGCCTGACAGTAACCCAGAAGGATGAGTTTCCTGGCACCTTGCCAGAGGAAAGAAGAAAACTTGAGGGACTTGGGACGCCGATTATTTTGCTGAGTGGAGAGTCAGAATCCATTTTCACTGCCATTGCATTTGTTAACCAATGTCCTTGATTGTCCCCTGCCAGACTCCTGTGCCACTGGGAGGTAAAAGCTCCCTAACACCTTTTCAATTGCATACTTCAGGTTTCCCAGTTTTCTCCTTCCAGCTCAGAAAGCAACCATTTACTAATATCATATGAAGAGAGAGAGAGAGAGAAAAACCTTTCTGCAATTTACAAAATTGTAGGTAATTCTGTTATTCAATTAAGATAATGCCTGTTTCTGTCTGAGCATAATACTGCATTCCAAATCCAAACCCCAAATGGGCTGCAGATGCATAGAAAAATAAGAGAAGAATCGTGTACACTCACGGTTTCTCTATTCTTACCTTAGAGAATAATATTCTCCCGGAATTTTCTGGTATGCCTAACCATTTGAAACAGAATCAGTTTCAATTGTTTCAAAGAATGCAAAATATCATCACCGTAATTGCTCCCACATCTTTATGAATATTATAATATCTGTAAGGCGAATGTAATCTTAGTAAAACTATACTGCATTGCATTTTGAGAAGATTTCATTTCATATATGGTGAGTTTTAGAACTCTCATGAGGAGAATTTTTATTGATAGAAATGTTTTCTATCTATATTTTATTTATAATTAACCAAAGGAATAATTTGCTTTCCAGGGTTAATTATCTCTGTCTTCTAAAAATGCTTTTTGGTTAATGAAAATATTTTAATTCTTTTTGTTTAAAAAAAACAAGGCACAACATACCACATTATAACAAAATTCAACACATTGTGCATACATATAGTTTTGGTTGTGAGCTGGGGAACACAATTTCCTTGAATGTTTTTATATTCTATTTTAGTGCTATAATTTTTCCAGGCAATAAATAATGTACTTCTATTGAATTCAGAATTACAGTGAATGTGCTCTATGCAGATAATTTAACACCTGTGAATTTCCATGCCCTACAACTGTAGACTGCGTATCTCACAGGCTTAAGGATCTGAATTATATCGCAAAAATAATGAGCAGAAGACTGATCGTAAATGTATGTTTATTTACATAGCCACTAATTTTTTCCACTGCATCGGATAAATGGATCCTCCAGTGTGAGATTCTCAGTAACTACAGCTATATGCTGAATTTAGTAGGTTTTGATTTTTCAAAGATAAAAGCTGAAATCACAGCTAACAGTGTTTTTCTGGGGATTAAGCGGGGAGAGTTTGTCAGTATTAGCCCAATGCGAGGGCACTGAGGAGGTGTATCTTGGATGTATGACCCCAGCGCTAGGGAGGGCTGAATAGAGACTAAAGCTGAGCCAGGAGCCCTGACACAGAACCACACATCCCCTGCGCCACCTCACCTCCTCCCTCAAATTGTGCACTTGCAGAGAGAGGGGAGGAGCTGCATTTAAAAAGAATCTTTGGGAGGCCGAGGTGGGTGGATCATGAGGTCAAGAGATCGAGACCATCCTGGTCAACATGGTGAAACCCCGTCTCTACTAAAAATACAAAAAATTAGCTGGGCATGGTGGCGCATGCCTGTAATCCCAGCTACTCAGGAGGCTGAGGCAGGAGAATTGCCTGAACCCAGGAGGCAGAGGTTGCGGTGAGCCGAGATCGAGCCATTGCACTCCAGCCTGGGTAACAAGAGTGAAACTCCATCTCAAAAAAAAAAAATAATAATAATAATAAAAATAAGAATCTTAAATCTTTTATTATACTTGAGTCTTTTCTATTGTGAATATAGATTTTACCCATCCAGCTACCAAAATAGTGTTTTATTTATATGGACAGAATCAAAACATATTAGGACTGAAAGTGTATTTAGAAAGCATTTTACAAAAGATGCGTTCTATGAGAGACGAAGGCACAGGAGCCTGGAGAAGTTATGTGCCCTCCTGAAGGCGGAGGCGAGGAGGGTTCCACCAGCCCACAGCTCCCTGGTTGCTGCTGCAGCCACTCATGGTGCAGTGTGACCAGAGCAGTATTCTGAAGTTTCCTGAGAAAATGAGGGGATATTTTGCAGGCAGGGGCATGCTAAAAATTGGCTGAGACTAAGAGCAAAGGGAATATCTCAAGTGTTGAAAAAAAAATCTGTGAAGACATCTGCCAGACTACAGCTTTCTTTTAGGCCTGAGCAGCAGAGTGGAGGTGGCGGTGCTGAGATGGTCTCCTATGCCCGCATTTACCAGGGCAAAGGATGTAAAAGTCTTATGGGACCAGATGACAGCCATCTTGGGGAGAGGGGGAAAAAAGAGCCAAATGAGATGGACTGGAGCAGTTTCAAGTCCTGTCCTAGAGGAACTTCCAAACGGGGTCTCTGTTTGGTTGAACAGCTAGAGAATGAGGATCCGAGGACTGAATGACAACTACAGGAATAGATTTCATTCCCCATCAGGAGAGGGGCCTCTGATGAGCACAAAGAAGTACGAGTGAGAGCAGGAGCCTGCCTGAAACAAGCCCAGAAAGCATCTTTTTACCTCTCCCCTCGTCTCCACTTGCAGGCCTGAGGGCTGAAACCACAGACAGCAAGAGGGGAAAAGCAGCGTGAGAAAGAGGGAAGCCAGAGCTAACAAATGCCTCCTGCTAAGGACTAGTTCTTTCTTCTGCGGCATGTAGCTAAAAGAGGAGAAGGAGACATCTTACCCTAAATAAATATGGAAGTGTTGATTGATATACTGTACTGGACAAGTTTCATGTGTAAATTAAGACTTCGTTTTGTGACTTTAAGTGGTGGTTGAACTCTCTATAACTTAAGAGTGAGAAGTCAGGAAACTGCCAAGGCTTTTATAAAAAAGCAGAAGGTGTTTTCCACTGAAGAAATTGTAAAACAGTGGGAAATGAAAGGAAAGTAATGCATTGATTCCTGAATCGTGTTTGCTCACCACACTGTTAGAGAGCTCTGTCCTCCTCAGGCTCTTCCTGTCCCTTACCCTTACGGTCCTCCTCAGCCAGAGGTGGAGTCTTTTCTTATTTTAACCACCTATGGGTCCAGGGCCAATCCAGTCTTTGAGTAGGAGACAGTAAAGTAATCTTACCCCATTTACTCTGGGACTCAGCTTCAAATTATTCTCATTTCTGTTGGACTGTGATTTGCAATTCCCTATTTTGGTTCTGTGCCTTGTCTTTTCTTCTTTTTCTTTATTCCTTTGATGATAATTTTTGCTTTTTAACTTTTTTTCTTTGAAAAAAATCCAGCCTAAAATGGCATGTGTCCTGTTTTGTTGAAACCCACCTTATTTTGTTGAAGATATTAATTATAGACCTTATGTGTGAGTATACTTGCATACACACATATACCTTTTGTTTGTTTGGGTCCTTTTCATGTTAGATACTTTTTTCTCAATCATTTGGTGATTTATCTGGCTGGTTATTCTTTTTTAAGAATCAAGCATTGATAAGTTGATGTCAATCTCATGGGGTTTAGCACATGACGGGAACATGGGGAAGTTACACCCGCACCTTGAGGATCACCAGCTCGCAGCATCTAAGGGGCTTTTCTTTTGGGTTGTGGCTTCCTGAGAGCAGTGGTTCTATAGTGGTTCAAACTCTAACGAAGTTAGAATCTCTTGGAGAGCCTATTAAAACACAGAGGCCCGAGGCTTACCGCCAAAGTGTGTGATTGGGTAGGTCTGGGGAGTCTTAGATTTCTAACAAGTTCCCAGTTGCTGAGTATGCTGTGGGTTTGGGGAGTACACTTTGAAAAGCACTGTCGTGGTGCAGGATTTCTTAATGTTGGGACTATTGACATTTTGTGCTGGGTAATTCTTTGTTGTGTGGTGCTGGCTTGTGTAATTTGTAGGGTGTTTAGCAGCATCCCTGGCCTCTAGCCACTAGACACCAGAGGCAATCCCCAACAGCCCCTATCCACACACCAGGTGTATGAAACAAACATGTCTTGAGACATTTTCACATGTCCCCCTAGTGGATGAAATTGCCCTACATTAATAACCACTAACTCCTTAAGGAATTCTGTCTCCTGCCTGGAAAATAAAAGTACAGTTGTAAGCAGTCTGAGAGACAAAGGGTAAAGAGGCTTGAGACTCACTATTCAGTTAGTAGACTCTATTAAATTTCCTCACGTTCTGTGTTGCCTCTCACCAATGCCACCCCACTGTCCATTTTTAGCTGTCTTTCCAAAGGTAAATTTGTTCAGTAGAGGTAGAAGAGCGCCAGGATCCTGGGGAGAGAATCTGGGAGTGTAACTGAGCCTCACATAAACTTTCAGTCTGTTGTTCCATTTGCAGCTTTGACCTGAAGTTCTGCTATCAGAGGTACCTACTAACCCTGATTTAAGTCTTTCCAAGATTCACTAGGGCTAAGCAGCTTCCTCCTCTGGAAGCTCACAGTTCCGTCACCTCTGGTCTGCCAAATCAATTGCTATTTATCCATCTGCTTCTCTGAGTCTAAAGTTTTGTTGACATCTCTCATCTACTGTTATCTGCTCTCCCATTCTCTTTGTTCTTGTAGATTCATGCCTTTTTAATCATTTATTTTCATTTTGGTGTGTTACAGAGGAGCAATAGTAAACATGTGAGTTTAATCTGCTGCATGTAGCCAGAATTCCCAGCTGCTTATCTGAAACTAGGTTTTGATAAGAGGGAAGGTGGAAAGGATGTAAAACATGTATGTTGGAAAGGTGTTATCAATGGTTTTGGTTAAAGAAAAAGAATGGAAATTTGAAGGTACAAAACACACTTTTTAAATGTTCTTTTTGTTTCGCTTAAAGCCCTTATTGTTATATTTTTATCATGTGTTCAACAAAAGCAACATTTGAAACTAACGATATAGACTTTAAGAGGCTCTGAAATAAAGGAACCGCCAGAATAGACATCTTTGAGCAAGACAGTATTTATGAAAACTCTTTACAAATTCCAAATAGACACCTATGCTGGGTTATGATTCATCACTTAAAAACATAAAGATTACAGGTCGCCATTTTACCCACAAAATCAAAGGCATACGTTCTTACAGTTAGACTTTCTCTTTAATTTACTCTTAGATGCAATCTGAAAGTGTTATTTAGGTATTAGTCATACTTGCTCATGTATAATTCCTCTTATTGATGAGAAAGAACTCAACTCATGACTTTTAAGGGATTAGGTGGGATTTAGCCATAAGAAATCATCAAAAAAGATACTGAATTTAAATTCAATAATTAACAAAATGTTAGGTGGTAATCTTCACAGATAAATATCTGGCCCTAAAAGAGTCATGGATCTCTCAGGAGTAAAATTCCCTCAACAGGGGAATTGTGAAAAAACAACAGATGAAATAAACTAAGTGTCGTATGAACAAAACTTTGACCTGGAATTTGACTTCTTTTGCATTTTCTATAGGTATAGCTATATGTGATTTTAAAAAATGCCCTCCAGATGCTTCTAGGAATAATCAGTGCTTTCTGAATACCAGCACTTTAAAATTATTGGTTATCACATCCTCATTAAATATGAATTAATATTTCCATTGTATTATGACTTATTTGAATCTTAATATATGGCCAAACCACAAGTTCCCTGCTCAGACTACATATTATATTGTGCTTGTGCTTTCAAGATAATGAGCATTGAGAATAATACAGTGTTCTTGTCTTTGATTTTCACAGCAATGTATTGGCTTATACTGGCATGTCATATGCTTAGATAAAAGTCAATAGAAAATATGGGAGGGAAGCAGTCACAGCCACCAACTTATAGTATGTCAGAAAAATATCATATGAATATATATATATCAGAGGTACATACATATAAAAGAACTCAAATGCAAATATGATTTAGAGTGTCAATGAAAACTTGGAATGGAAGGGTGGTATGTGGGAGTCATTTTCATAAGAACCGGTGAATGTGGTAGTGTAATCGCTGGATTAGACATTTGGAGATTGAATTATGTGACCTCACATAAAGTCATTTGGCCTATCGGAATTTTAAATCTGTAAAATGAAGATAATACCTGCCTCTTTACCAACTCTCAAGAAATCTATGAGGATTTATGGAATGAATATATATGAAGGCAATTTATAAGCTATATGTACTACACAAATTTAAATTGTTGACAAGAATAGAATCACAGAAAAATAGAACTGATAATATACATAAGAGATGGTTTCGTTCATTCACCTGCCTAAGTTATTTAGGACAGTAACTTATCTGTTATTCCTTTTATTTATATTGAAAATATTTTCCTTTTTTCCAAAATATTTAAACATTTTGCATAATATTGTTTAGTATAAAATGATTTTTTAAATAATTTAAATGATTGGTAAACAGTAGTGATCATGTGAATGGTATTTTTCTTATACATATGATATTAATTCTAGAACAATTAGTTCCCCAAAATAGGATCCCCTGATGGACTTGGTGGAATTTGTGACATCTATAAAGGGGCATATGAAAGTGTGTATGTATGTGCTAAGGAGTGATTTTCTGGGAAGAAGATTCCTATCTTTTCATCACACTCTCAAAGAGATTAAAAGAATGAGATATTAGAGGCCAGGCGCAGGGGCTCATGCCTGTAATCTCAGCACTTTGGGAGGCCGAGGTGGGTGGATGACTTGAGGTCAGGAATTCAAGCCCAGCCTGGCCAACATGGCAAAAAGCCATCTCTACTAAAAATACAAAATTTAGCCAGGTATAGTGGTGGGTACCTGTAATCCCAGCTTCTTACAAGGCTAAAGCAAGAGAATCGCTTGAGTCTGGGAGGTGGAGGTTTCAGTGAGCCAAGATCCTGCCACTGCACTCCAGCCTGGGTGACAGAGCAAGGCTGTCTCAAAAAAAAAAAAAAAAAAAAAAAAAAAAAAAAAAAGAGAGAATGGGATATTAAGAAGAGAGGAAGGAAGGAAGGATAAGAAAATGTGACAAAGAGAAAAAAGAGAAAGGGAAGAGAACACTTGAGCACATTGCTAGAAGAGTGTGCTATAGGTTATTTGTGCTTTTCCAGAGGGACTGAGAAAATGTTGGGCTAAAAAATTGTATAATTAAAAAATAATAATAACTTAAATTCATGAGGGCTTACTGCATCCAGGTGCTGTGATAAGAGCTTTAATTTGTATTATCCTTACACCTCACAACCACCCCATGAGGTAGGGAAAGACCCACAGTCGCTTTTAGTAAATACTTGGCCCAAATGTGTGCTCTATTAAGGTATGTGCATTGGGGCCAGATTGTGGAATTTAGAATTTGTCAATTTTTAGAAAGAAAGTTGGTGGCCTTAGCATGCATTATACACTATACCCAGGAAGGTCTGAGTGACCATAATGAGATCAAATAAAAGTTTTAAAGAACTTCACGAGTTCATTCCACACAGGTCAGATTTTGAAGCCGAATGAGTTATGACAAAGCGTTTGGGTTTCATAGCTTTTAGGATTTTGAAATTGCTCACAAAAGATTGTAAACCTGTATGATTATTATTCCATTTTGTTAACCACAAAATGACTTTAAGAGCTTGGTTAACAGCTCTATTTGCACAACCAGGAGGTGACAGAGCAGACTGCACATCAGGCGTTCTGACTCCTGGTCTGTGGAGTTTTAGAATTCAATGCTGATGGACCAATGAGAGACCCTGAGTTACAATTTGGATGTACTTAGTAGCCACCACCAGCTATTTGCCTTACTGTTCCTATCGTTACTATTAGCTATTATTTTCCTGAACAACCATGAGCAACTAGGTGATAAGGGAGTGGGAGAAAGAAGGCAGTAATGGAGCCCAACAGTTCCCTAAAATCCTAAAGTACTGAAGGCTGACCTTCCAGATTTAGATGAACTGATAGCCAGTTTATGAGCACCTTCCAAAGAAGAATCAGAAAGAACTCACAGAACATTCATAAAGTATTTGTTGAGGACCTACTATGTGTTACTTATTATTCTAGGCAGTTGAGATATAGTAAGTACATGTATTACATTATGATAGATGATATTATGTATATCTCTCCTAACAGAGGAGATATAACCAAATAATTGAAATACACTGTGATAAATGCTATAATAGGGTACATTAGGAAATACTGGGAATGTCAGGAAAGTCTTATACGAAGAAGCTGACATTATATTTGCACTTAAAGGATGAGTTGTTTTGTACACAGAGAAAAGACAGAATACATAGAATGGCTATTCTAAAAATGTACTTCTAATTTCTGCTCTTGACCAAGATGGAATGACAGGGACAGGATTTATTCTCCCATTGGAAGCAACTGGAAAACTAGAAAAATGTACAAACAGCAGTTCTCAAGACATTGTCCACAGACAGCAAAGGACAATGATGCTGAAGAGATGGGAAATAAACTAAGTAAGTCCCATACATGACCCAGCTTACTGCCTGGAGAGAGTATTCAGGCTGCAGACCTATAGCAGATTCTCAGAGTAAGGAGGCAATGTTGATTGTCTGGGAAGGCCAAGGTGGCTAGAGGCCACAGCACAGAATGTCAGAAAAGAGAGAACTACATAGAGAGAAAACTGCAGTTCTGAAGGGAGGCTTTCGTAAATATCCAGCTGAGTTCTGATCAGCACATGCATGTTAGGAAAGCACCCCAGGCTGGGGGCAACAATCCAAAGGATTAGAGGGGAAATCCATGGAGCTCACATGG